CTCTCTGTGGCTACTCTCCACTGAAGAAAGAGAGAATATTGTATTTCGAACTGCATGCAAAGCAACTCTCTCTCACTTTGAAATAAGGACATAGTCACTGTACTGTAAACTGCCCGTCGATCGACGCGCATGCAGGATAACCAATCCAGTACGAGCGTAGGCACGCTTTTCCTTTGGCAAGATTGCCCGAAAAAAGGTGGTTTCCAGACACCAAAAAACTCATACGGTGCACGCGCCTGCAGCATGATCATGATGATTTCATCTACCCCCACCCCATCCCGCCTTGATCCCGGCCGCAACCCCCCCCCCCCCCCCCCCTCCCTCAGCCAAATCCTGAACACGCCACTGACCATGACTTTTTGTAGCTATAATGAACACAGATGGAGAGCCAAGGATTATTTTTGTCAAAAGTAAAAAGGACCAAGAAACTACAAGCTACACTATAATGGCCACTAACACCACCAGTTTAATATACAATGAGATCATGCGATGACATCGCACGACACTGTCCGACGGTACTGACGTTCTACAACTAACTGGCTAACAGCTCTAGCACATCTTTTTGTACTATGCCAAATTTTTAGGTATAAAGTGCACAGCTGCAGTACTTTTACTCTATAAATTTTAGTCCTTTATCTACTATTCATTCGTTATCTGCCTCTACTGAGGAGCTCTCAATGAGCGAAACAGCTGTCTGGAGGATATGCAATAGCTAACCAAGAAGGAATTTCCTCGCTATGGTTTTGTGAATGTGGGCCAAGAACACAGTGTGGATTGGTGGAGTGTTTCAAATTATTTTCAAATGACCAAGTTCGCAGCAGTTGTTAGTTTTTTTCTTACCAACATAATCCCGTTCGTATCCTCTAGGCAGGGAGTTGACTGCTCAGATGTTGGCATTATCAATATGCGGGTGACAAACTCCTCTTTCAGTTGGCGGCCGTTCCGCTTGCTGCCTTAGTCCGCGTATATAGTTTGAGCTAGGGTCGAGATGACAGCCGGAATTACAGAGGAACGGAACTGAGTAATTACTTGCGCGTTGCCTGGACAAGCGCATTTCGGCAAACTGGACATCGTGATGCATGTTGCGTTTCGTGACGCGGAGATCCACTCACAGTCACACAGTCATTACAATCTTGTACTTGAAACGCCGTGCGCCTGGAGCTGGCTTCGCTTCTATTCGATGACCCTGCACTGCAGTACAGGCTACCAAGCATTCGTCTACGAGGACGAGAGTGCGGAATCAGTGCGTGCAATGATTGTGCGCATGCCTCCCGAAGTGCAGAGTACAGCCAGTACTGGCAGTAGGTATTGTAATGGTAGCGTGGGTGCTGGAAAAACGACGTTCTTATTTCAGATAATATTATTTCTTACACGCGATAAATCAAGTGTGACATATCATGTGCACGTGCGGAGAGGCAGGAAGATCATCGTACATGCAATTATGTAGTGTTACTGTGCATGCGGCTGGTTATAGTCACATAGGCTTACCATGTGGCTATGCAACATGAGTTACATGACCACAACACTCAACAGTTGAACCTGCAGAACTACGGCCCAACGCGAGTCAGATCGGAACTCCATTGGACGGATGTTATTACTACAGGCGATGTACTTTGCACTAATCTGGTATGTTTTGCTACACAAAGTCCATTCTTAGGACCGATATAATTATTCTACTGTACGATAACATTGATTGTAAGAATAAATGTGCACTTGAAATCCATGTTATGATTATGAAAACATGAGAGTTCATTCTTGTAGGCAGTATATTCTTTTACACGACCACGCTATAACCGATACGCACTGTACTAGTAGCAACTTGCCAAGGGTATGGGGGTTATAATTATACTCTTGGAAGTCTTGCTAGTAGATCTCCTTGGATTCCAGCACTGAGTACAAAGTCTGTTTAATACGATGTATGAATCGGTGGTTTGCTTCATTCTTGACTTTGGCTTCATGATTTGCGGCCAGAAACTGACATGTGCAAAGAACATTTAATTTGTTTAAAGGAGAGATGAACATCAAACTACAAGTGTGAAGTCAGCAAGTCAAAAAACAGTGTGAAAATCAAAAAAAAAGTATTATTTAATAATACTACCGTAACATGATTATGTCGAAAGGAAAAAAGGACAAATAACGGGTACCTCTCCACCACTGTAGCTACTTGGAAGTAGATACTATAATTATACAGTCAAATTGAAGCTAGGTGTCAGGACGTCGAATATCTCAGTATTGTGTCAGTTTTGTGGCTAGTTGTTGCACTTTCTGACTGTATATAGTATCTAGTTACAGCGGTGGAGAGTTACTCTTAAAGGGGAAGTTAACGCAAAAATCAAAATTTTACCAGTTGTAGTCTTCGGGGTGCTGAGTCGAATGGTCTTGGTCCGAGGAAGCTGAGAGTGAGACGCTCCCTTCCTACTTTAATCCCAATCGAACTCGCGCACATCCACCGAAACTGGGTGACTGCGCCCTACTAGATGGGGATTTGTATGCAAAATGTCACTAAAAGCGCCATTTCGTTCTTATAAAAGCACGGATGACCGCGATTGGCCCATATGTTGTAATCTTTTCGGACCAAAACCAGTCTTGAGTCTGCGTACATTTTTTTCAGTACAAAAAGGGTTAAACTCGGATGTTGAGCCATAAATAAATGTAGAAAGGAAAAAGACATTATCATGTTACAGTGATGGAGAGTTACTCTTAACTCGTATCCATAATGTCTTTTTCCTTTCTACATAAAGGGTTAACTTCCCCTTTAACTTGTTTCCATTATGTCCTTTTTCCTTTCTACATTTATTATTGCCTCAATACCCGAATATGAATGATATGAATGAAGCTGCAGGAAGCCTCACCACTGCTACTAACTCAAAACCCGAGTTTCAAATAATGCTAACACAGCGAACATATCAAGAGGAAAGAAGAGGAAACCAGGAAAAGAGAAAACTTGCTGACTTTCCACACTTGTCGCGTGATGTTTATCTCTCTCAATTCGTTACCCATAATTAAAATCGCTGTCTTATTCATTTTTTTGCTTTATTCTCCTTTAAAAGAGTCCATGAAGAGAAGGGAACGAAAACGTTCGGTTCTAAAATTTCCTAGTGTTCATTTGCACTGGTGTGGATTGCAGATGCATGTACTACATTCAACAATTATTTTTATTTCCGAATTAGTCGAAATCTGCACCTCCAGAGCCATGGATTTTTCTATCCTTTTGAGAAGACAACCCTGGTGTCCCAAGGAGACGATGCATCCTGTTCTTCCGATTCTGAAAGTGAATCCGGTATCGAGGACATAGCCGTTTTGTTCCCAGGGCAGATCAAGCTGCAATAGCCAGGAAACGATCAAAAGAAAAAAAGAGAAAAATGGGGGGGAGTGAGAGAGAGAGAGAGAGAGAGAGAGAGAGAGAGAGAGAGAGAGAGAGAGAGAGAGAGAGAGAGAGAGAGAGAGAGAGAGAGAAAGAGAGAGAGAGAGAGAGATAGAGAGATAGAGAGAGAGAGAGAGAGAGAGAGAGAGAGAGAGAGAGAGAGAGAGAGAGAGAGAGAGAGAGAGAGAGAGAGAGAGAGAGAGAGAGAGAGAGAGAGAGAGAGAGAGAGAGAGAGAGAGAGAGAGAGAGAGAGAGAGAGAGAGAGAGAGAGAGAGGGAGAGATAGAGAGAGAATGGAACAGGGAGGAAAGCAAAGCTCAGCCATTTTAAGTGATATGATCGGCAACTACAATGTACACTGTGTAGCTAAACTCTCGTGGGTGTGCTGCAGGAAAACGTAACTCATGGCAAACAACTTGACAAAACTGTAAGACGTGCTGTAGCAATGATGGGCTAGACTTGATGGCTCGAGCCATTCAGAATAGGAATGAAATACATGTAGAGGGGATTTCGTCAACTGGACAGTATTTTTAACAGGGTTGAGAGCAGGAATAGGAAACATGGCGTGAGATGTGGAGAGATACATGAAGATATACATGAATGTGTATGGATAGATATACACGAATATAGGTGTACATGTACATCGTACAGTGAGTTTTACACTGATGGCAGAGATCATTAGGTATTTTTCGGGATGACATTGGATAACCTTTTCCATTGTCTGCACCTAGAGATGAGTCTTGTCTTCAGAGAAGAATTGAATTTCCTGTTGGAGAAGTGTGAGCCAGGACAATCCTACAGATAGAATGTAAATACAAGAACACAAATAAATTGATCAGATGTTATAATCGGGTATCGTATTGGCTGAAATCGGTCCTGGAAGAAACTTCCAATTAAAGGGAAACTGAACGCCAAAAATAAGTATGGCTTATCCGAAGGAGAATTGGGCACTGATTCCGATGAGCTATGTCTCGAGCCGATCAGAGAAGAGGAACCGTGTCAAATTTCATAAATAACACCTTCCATATTTGGAAAATGGGCTTGATGACGTGCGTACTGCTTAGCTGTCACCATGCTGTGCATGTTCAGCAGTGTAATTGAATGGAAGAAAACAATTACTTTGGTGTTTTGCAGCTCTATTTCGTTCCCTGACGGTACCCAAATCTAGATGTAGGAATCTGTTGAGCAGGAGAGTGACACATGTCTTCCCGAAGGCTGTCCAGCCTGCAGTGGTGATGAAGAAGACACGAATAACACCCCAAGATCGATTGTAGCGAATTGAAAAACTCATGGTGAATTTGCTTCCACTCCAAGGCAATGTCGAGGTATGAAGGGTGCTTGTACTGCCTTCCAAAGTGAAGCGGAGATGAACATGGCTTTGCATAGCTGTTGTTCTACGCCAACTTACCTACTCTTGCTGGTACCGTAGTGGTATATTGCAAATGTCGTGGACGAACAATTTGAGTCACTAGTGGCTTGTGAGCAACACTAACAGGTGAGATTTTTCAATTTGACACAAATTGTTCTTGTTTGAGAACAGACGGTGGCAGTCATTAGACTCAGTAGGTGTCTCTCTGCGGCTTCTTTCCCTTCATCGATAGGGTTGTGCTTGAAGTCGAAATAAATAGAACATGTGGAACAAAAATCTGATCATGTAATTCGAATTTCAATTTCAAAGTATGTGTACATCAAATCACAAAAATTTCAATATGGTGCTGTCCACTGAAAAAGACTGGGGGCTGGCAGCAATGGAAAGGGTAGAAACGAAACCAGTAAAGTAGAGTATTCATAAGGTAGAGGGAGTTGAAAACGGGAGACGAGTAGTGAGCATTTCAGTTCGAAGTAGTGTCAATAGACAGCATTGTGTTGCATATGTTGTGAATATTGTGCGAATCTAATAATTGGCAGAGGGTAGTGATTAAGCAGAGTATTGTTACAATACGAGGTACTTTGTGAGCAGATAGCAATCAATATCACGACATGGTTTAGACAGGAACTCATAAATGTCAAGAAATTGATAATCCAAAATTTTTAATTATTATCCCCTGAGTAGTATAATTATTATGGTGTTCTCCTGTGTTTACATGCAGAGCCTTGACGTTGCTGGACGAGCGACAATATAAATTACATAAACGTGTAGCTCATAATGTGGGATGACTGCCGTATTGCATTGCCAACGCAAACCCATCCTGTGTCAGTGCAGCCATCCAGCAACGTACTCCCCGGACCAGATGCCGCTGCAGCTGAACACCATGCCGATGGAAAGCCAGGAGTTGATGGCGAAGCATTCTGGTCTGCACAGTACAAGGCAAAGAACAATAATATTATGAATTATAACGCATTGTAATCCTTCCCACACATCTTTGTAAAAACAAACAAACAGTGCCATTATCACAACACTTGATCAAGCATCTTGATGGAGGTATTTTCCATTGTGCTGGCCCAGCATCTGCACCAGGAAGACCATGTACACTTACAAGTATCTTGTGTGTGTGTGTGTGTGTGTGTGTGTGTGTGTGTGTGTGTGTGTGTGTGTGTGTTTGTGTATCCGTGTGTGTGTGGGGGGGGGGGGCTGGGGGTAGACGCATATGTGTATGGGTAGGAGTGTGTGTGTGTGTGGGGGGGGGGGGGTTCACACACATGTGTATGGATGTGCGCGTTGCATGCGTGTGTCTGTGGGATGGGGTGGGGGTGCACGCACATGTGTACATGTGTGCGCGCAATATAGAATGTGTGTATTGTGTTCGTTGAACACAGGGAGTCCTCCTGATTCCACAAACTTTGTGATCATTGTGATTTTATGTGCTTTGAAGTTGAAATTCGCAATACATGTACTGATGCTTGATTAGATTTATGTTCCACATGTTCTATTTATTTTATTTTACTTCAAGCACTTGTACTATCAAGCACAACCCTACCAATGAAGGGAAAGAAGCAGCAGAGACACCTACTGAGTCAAATGACTGCCACCGTCAGTTCTCAAACAAAAACAATTTTTATCAAATTGAAAAATCTCACCTGTTAGTGTTGCTCACTAGCCACTAGTGACTCGAATTGTTCGTCCACGAAATTTGCAATATACCACTACGGAACCAGCAAGAGTAGGTAAGTTGGCGTAGAGCAACAGCTATGCAAAGCCATGTTCATCTCCGCTGCACTTTGGAAGGCAGTACAAGCACCCTTCATACCTCGACATTGCCTTGGAGTGGAAGCAAATTCACCATGAGTTTTCCAATTCGCTACAATCGATCTTGGGGTGATATTCGTGTCTTCTTCATCACCACTGCAGGCTGGACAGCCTTCGGGAAGACATGTGTCACTCTCCTGCTCAACAGACTCCTACATCTAGATTTGGGTACCGTCAGGGAACGAAATAGAGCTGCAAAACACCAAAGTAATTGTTTTCTTCCATTCAATTACACTGCCGAGCATGCACAGCATGGTGACAGCTAAGCAGTACGCACGTCATCAAGCCCATTTTCCAAATATGGAAGGTGTTATTTATGAAATTTGACACGGTTCCTCTTCTCTGATCGGCTCGAGACATAGCTCATCGGAATCAGTGCCCAATTCTCCTTCGGATAAGCCATACTTATTTTTGGCGTTCAGTTTCCCTTTAAGCCGTAGGTTCGAATAAAGCCGTATTAAATTTATCAGGATTCTACCTATAACAAGAAACAGGGGTTTGTAAACTGACAACCCCTCTATGCAGTTGCTATTAACAATCTGCGTTGCATTGAAATTCTTTTATCGTTGATGTCTAAAATTATGGTGTTCCGGGCCAGTCTTACATTATCAGAACCACCCATTTTCTTTTTAGGTATACTATAATTAGTAAATTCTGAAAATAAGTGAACACGACACAGTCTCAACAGTAAAGTGTAAGATGGCTTACATTGCTTATTGTAGACCTTGAAAAAGAAGATGAGGTTCAGGGCAACACTGGCGGCGAATAAAATACCTCTTACGATAGATACTGCAACTGAAATGTCGGAGCTGCATTGACTATAACCATGGCCAACAGCAGTGTCCACTGGTGCTGCAAAATACAACAGAAAAACACATTCTTGTAAGTATAGATCCCCTGAGTCATTAACAAGAATTGTTCAGTCTTCAAATGGCATTATATGACACAACGTACACAAAGTGATCCATGTCAATACCACGTCATTACCCGCAAAATTCAACTGCCAATTCAGCATTATTCATCCATCATCCATAGGATATTAGTCATACATGGTCCCGAGGGTATGGTGCTGGTTCACAACCAGATGCATAGCTTCAGAATGACATTGTGCACCACAGCTCAAGGTTAGGAGAGTGAAACAATATTTAACTTTCTTCGTGGAGTGTCATCATGGACCAAATAAGCCTCGCGATTGGCTTAATAGGCACCCCGACAACAGATATAACGATTAGGGACCCTGGGGTAATATTTGTTCAATGTCCATCACAGATGGGCTACTGTTCAAGAGAGGGCTCTCATCACGCGAGAACAGTTGGCATGTGCGCTACACAGGAGGTACGTTATGAGCGTTGCTCTAACCAACTGAGCTATTGGATCGCGCCAAACCTAAAAGGCGCTGGCAAGTTTTTCACTCAAAAGGCAGCTCACAACACGTGCCATACAGGCTGATGGTACATGGGTCACTTTCCCTCCAAAAGGGGACTGTCTGGAAAGAGTGAGTGAAAACTTGTCAGCGCCAGCTAGGTTCGGCCTGGTCCAAAGGATAAGACGGTTATAGCACATCTCGTGACAAGCAAGGTCCCGATTCGTGCCCTGGTCGGGTTGACATTTTTCTCTTTTCAGGCAGTTCGCTTCCCCGAATGACCCACCTCCGCTGCGTATCTCGGTGTAATTATAGATGTCAAGCTGTCGTGGGATCCTCACGTTGAGGTGATCATCACCAAGGCTGCCCGCAAGATAGGCGCTTTGTGGCGAAGAGCACTGTCCGGTAAATCACGACGCATATTCATTTAGGCGGCGATCATGCCCGACTTTCTTTAGCGGTCAAGCGCATTCTTTGCCGGGCTACTTGGCCGCCAGTTAGACTGCCTGCGAACACTGCACTTGGTTCGGTCTGGTCCCATAGCTCAGATAGCTCCAGTATTGTTCATGACAAGCAAGGTCCCGAGTTTAGAGTCCTAGTGGGGTTTCCTTTTTTTCTCTTTTCAAGAAGTTCACTTCCCCCGACTGATCCTTTGAATTTTGAAGTTCTCCCAATCCATCTGAGTCCATTCCTTTAACAAAAACATAAATCCTTACTTTTCTCTGAGTACCTCTTGTGTACTGCACTCAGCTCATCATAGGAATTGGACACTCTAGCAGGTTAAGGTGCACTGCCTCTGTGTCTTGTGCGCTACATGGTGAGAGATAGGTAATCAAACATGTGTACCTGAGCAAGCGGAGATTTCCTTTGTCCACATTCCACTTTTCTGGCATGTGATCAGTTGATGGCGTTGTGACCAGTTACCGGAGACATACAGGCCTTCTCTGCATGTCAAGTTAAGTGAAGTGTTTGCTGAGAAGTTCAGTTTAATCAGGTTGATAATTTCTGGGGTGAATGTACTTGCAACAGCCATAATCCACCCTAGTTTACTGGGTAACTTGCAAAAAGCAGGAGGTATTGGTTGATATCTTGTTGGTTTATCAGTGACATCAGGTTGTACTCTGGCTGCAGCTGTTATAGTGCCTACAGTGACACGATGTCCAGGACCAACTGAGTTGACAGCAAACACCGTGATCAAAACACTTCTTCTCTCCTTTAGTCCAGTTATGGTGTATTGTGGCATTGCAATGTTGATATCGTTGCTCACTCTCTCCTCAGTATCTCCTCTGAGAACACTATACTGAATTACGTAGTATAGATTACCACCTGGAGCAGGGTCAAAGACAAAGGTGAATGAATAATGATGAGTTGTTTGCTAGTATAAAATGTGCTTGAGTGTGCTTAATGCCGCTGCAGAAAATTCTATGGTAGATTGGCTTTAATTATTATAGTTGTCCGAGCATAGATCTGCTAAGAGTTTTAGAGCAACAAGCGTTTTCATGAACGCTTCTTGGTAAATTCTTGAACCGCGAGGTGTCGGATCACTAATGATTTAATTCTGCCGAGGTAGCAAATAGTCGTGGGGTAAATGCAATGCCGTAAAGATAATCATGATGACTACATGAAATATTTCACTTACGGGCACATGTTCTTGAATATCGATCCACCATACATCAGGGGTTATAGACCTACAGACCATGCTCTTGAAAACATTACTCACCGTAAGTTGTTTCTGGTGCTTGCCATCTTGCCTGTAGTACAGAGCTTGATATGGGTATGGCTGTCAAATTCCTTACTGGTCCTGGGGCTGCATTGGAGAAAGAGAAAAGCGAAAGGAAAATAATTCAGTGGAATCTGATGCAAGTCTCCCGGGGGCAACCGCATCAAGAAATTCCGTCGTGTCAAAACATTTAATCTTTCTGCGGACAGATCTGTTTCGTCTTTGTGGACATAAATTTCTAATTGTTCACTTGATCGTAGTAATACCTGAAACTCAGAGTTGTGACAAAGCTTCCAATATCTCTTGTGAAATTGTTCACTTGTCAATTTATCATGTTTTTCATTCTTAGCATTACCACACTCAAAGCAATTCTTTGATGACCTGTGACATTTCCATACTAATTACGTGTACATGATGTTTGAGTGTTGTTGAACATTAATCTGGCTGTGTTTACAGAAGAACCTTGTCTACCGGTCACAGTGTTCAATACTGGCTGTACTTATATTTCTTGATGGCCTTTCCTTCCTTATCAATTCCCTGATGACACCCAATGGGTGAATTATTGACGATCTTTCATTCATCAATTTTTGTGCAGTACCGAGCCTGTTTGTGAGAAGGAGAAAGGAAGTTTTCAAAATTTGTCAAATTTCCTTTTTCTTTAAAATATTCACCAGTTATTCCCTTGCTTATTCCTCCGCACGTACCTAGCTTCTGAGTTACGAGCCACCTCCTTGCTTTAACACCAAGACCCACTCCATTAATGGCTGCAGCAGTAATCTGGTACCTTGTAAAATGCCGCAAGCCAGATAGTGAAATTGAGTTACTGACCCAACCTTTAGTGCGGAGAGATGGGAAGAAAGACATGATCCAAATGAAGAGAGATAAGAAGCAGGAAAGAAAGCAGAAAAGAGAATGATGGCAAGAGAAGAAATTAGATAATGTAATGAACAAAACGAAGAACTTCGACGAAGTGATTGAGCGCTGCTCCCTAAGTGGGAGCTGCCACCTTTCCTGCTCACTTAACCAGACACTGGACTGACTCACACTGCCATCCGGGGCACATGGAAATTCCATCAAACCTTTTATACAGAAAAACCTGGATGGGTGCATCTAGCCCTGTGTAAACACCTTGTTGACTTGCGATGGCAGCATGAATCATTTTCTTACATAGAAGTGTCAAAAAAGTGCTGAACAGAACATGGAAGATAGTTGCATTCAAGCTGGGTCCAATCATGTATAGACCATATACTCACTTTCATGAACTCGAATAGATCCGTGCAGAGAACAGTTGTAGAGTTGACATTGACAATCTTCTACTTTGCTACATCCAACTGCATCGTAAGTAATCTCATAGCCAATTATAGTACCATGGGAAAGAGCAGGTGGCATTGGCTGCAGGTTTTCAGGATACGAGGCATATAAAGACCAAATTGGCATTATTCTCAGCAGAGCAGTGACAGAGGATTAGCTTTGCTGCATCCACACAGCAAAGCACACAACAGTGCTGTAAGGTTATCCATCCTATGCAAATCATGCACTCTTCAAGGTAGATCTGTTGTCATCGATTTTCCACACTCACGAGAGTTTTAAACTTTATGGGGCCTCAAGAAAAAGAGACTAATGAGAGTTTGGACCGTTGAATCGAATGGTCTTGAGCCAAGGAGGCTGTGAAGCCCTTTCCATTAGATATTCCCATTCCTGTCGTTACCGGGCACCTCATGCATGCATCCACACCTGCTTACAATTGCAGCCATTTTTCACGGAAACATGAATGCTTTAAAATCATCACTGCAATTCTGGGTGGTGACAATGCACTTTTGATTGGGAACATCCGACGAGCGGATAATTGCATGATCATAGATCATTCCCATTCCCATTCCTAAAAAAATTCATCGCCGAAGTCGTAACCACTATTTCGTATCATAGATCTCCATATAAATATTACTTGTAAAAAAGAGAAAAAAACCCACATGAGAACGAGTTATGCAGGAACTATCCACGACTGTAACAAGATAATAAACAGTCAAAAAGTGCGCTGATAGGGCACAAAACTGACAGGCTACTGAAACAGCCAGTGTTGTTACAGTCGTGGATAGTTGCTGCATACTGTAAATATACAAAATTTCGGCGCTGCAAAATTTCGGCACTTCACGATTTTTGACATTTCGGCGGCGATTTATTTTCGGCGTGGGTAGAGGGCATGGTATAGTGCGACAGATGTTGTGAAAAATTTCATCGGCGTTTCAATTTAGGGGTTTGGGGTCGGTGCCGAATATAGCCGAAATTAAATAGCTGCCGAAAATTTGTATATTTACAGTAACTCGTTCTCATGTGTTTGTATTCTTGTTTACATTTATTACTGGCTGAGTAGCCGAGTTTAAATATTCCTTTGGCTCACAATAGTACTTAGGTTTGTCTGCCCACCTGCCCACCAGACACCCTCTAAGCCGCAAAGTTCTGGTAAAGACTGCTCAATCTCTCACCAACATTTGTTGCCGCATGGCACCTAGTTGACTCATGACTGGTGATACCCACATAGCTTCCTGAGTACCTCTACGTCAGTTAGCGCCTGGAGTATAGGCGATGACACAGCAACAACTTGGCTCGGATTGCGACGTACGTTTCGTCCCTCCAGAACTCCTCAGCCAATCTCGGATGTATTCTGATCCAAAATTGCCTTAAAATAACCCCATCCATTCAATTCCAAAATGGTTGAAAGGGGTCGGAAGTGATGGTACTGGCATGACAATTACCACCTGAACTCAAATGAAGCTCACGATTTACTTCTATTTCAGAACTGTTCTTCATCTTATATTGATAGTCTAGTCGTATGGTTAGACGAGAAGGCGGAAAATGCCTGCCTATCTGGTGAAGTAATATAGGAACAAACAAACAAACTGTTGCCATCCATGAGTTGCAGAAAGAAACCACTACTATTCAAAGTCATGGAGACAATTTGCCTGATACAGTCTTCAGCGATTGCCTCAGAGTACAGTGAACTGGCTAACGTTAGATCTTGTTTTCATTAATTCTGTTTGTTCAATCTGGGCTTGGACCTGACAACTAAAATGACTATGAAAGTGTACGACATTCTAAATATGCACTGTGGATGAGGTGTGAGTGCAAGGGGGATTTCCTAACCTTGAAACTTATCGTTGCATGACCTGGTGATGTTGAGACAGCAGTGAGGCCTTGGGGCGCCGCAGACCCTGCAAGTTCGGGATACAAATTCAGGAAACACAGAAACACAATAGGTCTCTCTCTGACACTGTCCACTTTTTCCAGCGCATAGTTCTGGCAACTAAGCCATGAAAGTCTGTCAGATGTGCTGAGTCTGCAGCACAGGGATGACCATGTTGTGTGGCCAGTACCATTAGCTGTCTCTGCACTCTCCTGCTTCAGTCTCATCCATCATTAGGCCAGTACCATTAGCTGTCTCTGCACTCTCCTGCTTCAGTCTCATCCATCATTAAAATGGGAATAACTGTGTTTATCTCGCCTCCTCATTCACTGCCATATGAGCTTTCAGATCCAAAGTTGATTTATGGCATTTTAACATTCAAAGCGGCCAACAAGATCTGGAGGGATTGCTGCGAAAATCTCTCTCAATACTAAATCAATAAATGACCTGTGCTGTGCAAAACCAACCGCAGGTACTATTTTGGCGAAATTTGAGTTTTTGCTGGATTGTTAACCCACGACTCTTTTCTTCGACTTTTGATGAAGTTTTATGTGGATCACATTCAAATTTAGGAAGATACAATGGCACTTTCTTCGTAATTATCCTGCAAAAAATAAAAAAATAACTAGACTTTGAATATCTTTTTGAACTCGGATCCTTTTTCACCATAATTCAATTGGCTCACCATCCGAGTTCAACTTTGCACTCCTGATGAGCCGTCATGACCTATACGGCGAAACGTACGTCATGTGGAACTACTTGGTATTGTACAAAACTAGTCCATCATATTTACATGATAGTGGAGTTCAGTAGGATGTTGACGTTTCGGTTTTTCACAATTCGTCTTCGCTTAGGTTCCCCTTTCTATGTTTATTACATAGTTGGGTGGTCTGTTGCTTTGCGTCGTCAAGTTGTAGTAAGGCCGGTATGTCCAATAGTCTTACTAGTTTCGTCATCATCCAATAACTTTTAGCATTCTTTGTGGCACGAGTTGAAAGTCTCAGCTGTGAAGGACGTTGGTGGATGTTCATGCATGTCGATGACGATACTGGCAAGACCATTGGACAATACCGTTAACCACGATTCAAGAACGCAAAGCAACATTCCACACAACTTGTTTGGCTAAGCTTATCTTGGTTGCGCTCACCTCCCCTCCTTATGTTATTTCTATAACTTAGAACCTTCCAAGTTGGAAGGCTGTAGGAGTGCGCATCCAAGATCTGCTAGAGCTGGTGGCCAGTTAGTTGTAGAACGTCAGTACCGTCGGTCAGTGTCGTGCAATGTTATCGCATGAGCTGATTGTTTAGTAACTGGTGGTGTTAGTGGACAGTATAGCGTAGCTTGTAGTTCATTGGTCCTTTCTCTTTTGTAAAAATTATCATTAACGCAATATTTAACTCCGATACTGAGCCAATAAATATAATTAAAATAGAAGAAATCACATGGAAACGAGTTATGAAGAAACGAACCACGACTGTAACAAGATAATAGGCAAGGATGTTGAATGTCACAGTAACATGTCAGTGTTGTGCCCTGTTATCACACTTTCTGACTGCTTCTTATCTTGTTACAGTCGTGACGTTATAAATAGAGCCAGCTGCGCACTCCGTCAAAGTACTACAAACACAATAAGAAAATCCTATTTTCATGTATTATTATTCTTTGAACGTTTCGTGGCCATCTCTTCAGAAGGATTACCGGCAGGGGCGTCACAGAGCAGTGGGAAATGGTAGTGGTGGACGTTTTCCGCTGCCACCAGTGTTAGCTGCTCCCGGCTAATGATGCTCCCTCACACCGGAACACAGGGGTTTTATATGATTGGATTATAGAAGTATTCGATAAGAGTGTAGACAGAAGGAGAACAGGACAACGACTCGACAGACTAGAACAGAACAGAACTGGAGCGTGCGCTCTTCTATGTGAGTGGCTCATTGCCAAGGGGAACGAGCGGGAAATACGAATAGTGAGTATTCAGGTCGTAGCATACATACACCTATTACAGTACGACCGGCGTCCAGGATGTCCCCCGGGGGGAATTGGATCTCTCGGTCAACAGGACACGTTTTAGTGCTCCGCAAGCGCTCTGGGCGGACCGTCTTGGACGAAAAGTGGTACGACCACGGTCGTACTGGTCGTGCGTGTGACGACCCTGACTGGTAAACCAAAATTAATTCGAAACTCAACATCAGTATGCACAACGCAAGTAGTAACTAAGACCCTATTAAGCAATAACAATAATAGTTATTATTCAAAAAGAGGACCAAATGTTTACAAGTTATCCATTTTGTCCAACACTAATGGTTATAAGCAGAATACTGTTGAGTCAAAAATGTGCTACAATTAGCACAGAACTGACTGATGAGATCATGACATCCAACGACATGATGCTTAGCTGCATCACATCTAGAATGCCCAAACCAGCAGCCTTCCAACTTGGAAGGTTCTAAGTTACGAAGTAACGTAAGGAAGGGGAAGGTGAGCGCACTCTAGACGAAAACAAGCTAAACATCACAGCAGAACCTTCCAAGTTGGAAGGCTGCTGGTTTGCGCATTCTAGACGTGATGCAGCTAAGCATCAGGTCGTTGAATGTCATGATCTCATCAGTCAGTTTTGTGCTAATTGTTCCACATTTTTGACTTAATTAACAGTATTCTGCTTTTAGCCGTTAGTGTTGGACAAAATGGATAACTTGTAAACTTTTGGTCCTCTTTTTGAATAATAATCCTTGCCTCTCCATCTGAGTTTAATAATAATAATAATTATTGTTATTATTAATACTGAATGCACACACAAAATTGCGGGAGAAGCTTACGTGATTCGGGAGTCTCCAGTCTTAGTCTGGGACTTGGACCACTTGAACCAGCTGCATTTTCTGCATGATACCAGCAGGTGTACTTGGTGGCTGGTTGAAGTCCAATGATTGTGACAGTATTGAGTGGAAAACTTTGAACAGTGTCCTTCACATAAGATCTGTACTCTGCATCTGGTTTACAAATGACTTTGTAACTTTTAACGGGTAGATTTCCTTTGTATGACGGTGATTGAAGATTGAGAGCAACCGAAGTTGCTCTTAGTGAATTCTGGACAATGCGTGCCGGTCTAGGGGCAATAAGAAACCTGGGAATATCTGTGAATGAAAGAAATCATCAAGAAGAGTGTTTGTTAATTGGCAGAAGAGCGCTCAATGCCCTTATAATGCAGAGCATGTGATTTTGGAGTTACAAGCTTTTCACAGATAGGGGCAGTGCCTGGTCCCAGTCAACCCTTTGCCGGTCTAACTCAATGTTTCTGAGAGGTGGTCGCGCAAACACATGTACACACAACCAGCAATAACTCAAGAACCATGTGATATAGGTATGAGTAAACCAATGCTGTTTCGGCCATGAAGGCTTCATCAGTACAGCTACAAGCTTAGTAGGCCGAGCTACCAGCCATGGTGCAAAGGCGGCACCACAGACATTAAGATACATGTAGCTTGTCGCTCTAGCGCCAGAGTGCTCAAACTACAAAAGTAGCGGGCATTGCGCAATATGAGTAGACCATATATTTTCAAAATCTGTATGCCTGAACGCGTCTAGGAAATTCAATACGACTAAATCCAGGCAAGGATACGGCCCATGGCGTGGTAGCCCTTCAAGTTGAGAGCAAATACAATAGCGAATGAAATACATGAATATCACAGCAAGAAGCCTGCGGGCGTACCAAGTTCGAGATGGAGCTGAAGTCCTACGATAAACAATAAGGTAAGGGCTACGTCTTTACCAGAGATGTAGGCTCTCCACAATCCCGCCATTGAGCACCAACGCCTCGCCATCAGCGATACCCCAGCAGCAGCAATTCCTGTTCCACAATATCGCAGCTTTGGTTTGTTCACCCCAGCGCTGCTGGCCTTAGATTCACTCTCGCTCAGATGAGTACTCAATTAGTGCAGAAAATGGTCATGTCATGTGGACAGTTGGGTCAACATGGTTGACATCATGTGACGTATTTATGCCGGGGTTGTGGTGAACATAGTAGTTCCGTGTGGTCATGTGATAGCTGTAAGACCACACTACAGTCAACATATCGTAGAGCTGCATCTTCTGTTCATAAGTTGGAGCTGAAGATGGATTTCTAAACTCGTGAATCTGACAACCAGTTACCTGTCAGGAGAGAAGAAACAGTTTTGTTTGCTTTATTGCGGCTGGATTGATTTTCCCTGTCTTGTTTTCGGATGGCGACCAACCACTACCATTGCTGTTTTCCAGGATGTAGTGGTCACCGGCGTTACTCCCCAGAAATTTGGCATTCGTCCTTTCCATAAATTTCCATCTAATCCTGAACTACGAAGGGAATGGACTGCCACTATTCGACAGGAGGAAAGCGAAGAAGAGTTAAGCGACACTACAGTGGTGTGCTCTGACCATTTCTTGCCAGAAGAATATGTACAAGGGGATACAATCCCCTGAGCAATGCTGGTGAAACATTATGCCACTGGCGTTCAATCTGGTCCGCGAAGACAACAGCAGCTGATGCCAACTGGCCTTGCTCTACCTCGTGCCGTGATCTACTGCACGGGGGCCACCTGAAGATGTACGACTCGTACCTAGTCACTGCCCCTATGCTGGAGGAAGCATTCGACAATATTCAATGCGATCTGGGTGACTGCAAGAAAAGGGTAGCATAATTGAGCGAAATGCCTAAAAGTGGAATGTTTGGACTATCCAGATTCAAAGACATGGCATCATCTCAGTAACCTTGGACCTTGGATGTGAATGTCCAACGCTTTCACCGGGATATTCACATCCTCGGAATTGACCTATCAAAGGCATTTGACACTATCAGACGTGACCAACTGATGAGTGTACTAAAGGAAATCGTGAACGAGGCTAAACTGCGTCTTCGGGAACAAAGCTCCATGTCCGCCTGGGTAAAATGTCATCACCAACATTTCCGACAACTATTGGCATACCGCAGGGTGACTCCTTGTCACTGGTCCTGTTTACGGTATATCTGGAAGCAGCGTTACGGCAACTGAGAAAGGAAGCAGCTCCCAGACCCCATGCTGATCTTCACCTGCCGCTTGAGCTAATCTATGCTGATGACGCACATTTTATAAGCACCAGTCGGCGGTGGCTCTCCCACCTAAAAACTACGGCGCGTTCTACCCTGGTTCAATGGTCGCTCAACATGAATCATGACAAAACGGAGTACACAGAAATCACTAGACTCAATGATCGCAACAAAGAAAAATGGAGATCTACATGAAAACTTGGAAGTCTGATTGGTGATGACGAGGATGTGCTGAGGAGGAAGCAACTGGTGACAGCTGCCTTTTGGGGCCTGTGGAACCTCTGGAAACGAGGCCAGCAGGTCACCGAAAAGCTTCGCCTACGGCTATACCAAGCCTTCATCATCCCTGTACTGCTGTACAACTCTGGTACGTGGGCGGTTACCAAGACAGCTCAGGAGCGACTGGACTCCTTCCATCGGCGTCAACTGAGGTCGCTTATAGGCATCAGGTGGCTTCAAACAATATCGAACAACACACTATACGCCCGATGTGAAAGCCAGCCAATCAGTCACCATCAAGATGTTGCGATGGAAGCTATTCGGACATGTCCTCCGTCTGTCCGACAGCACACCAGCCATCCAGGCAATGGTCAGCTACTACACCAGCAAGGACCTCAAGGGCTGGAGAGGACGGCCGAGGACCAGCCTGACGGGTACACTATCTGCTGATTTGGAGGCAGCAGATGCCGGAAAGCTGAGTAGTCTGGAGGACTTGCACAGAATCAGGAATATTGCAGCGGTTAGGGCCGAGTGGCGAGCTCTGTGTCAACAGGTGACAGAAAAGGATCTGTGGGGGACGGATGACACTCCAATATCTGACTTCTTCTCAGCGTCCATGTAACCTTGTATGTTTGAATGGTGCCTTTTTTGCTGATCCACCACACCATCACTTAATGCTCTCTACTGCATTGTTCACCCACCACTGGCTTTATATACTTCTGTGGCTCATTTGCCCCTTTTTCTGATTTGTGCTTTTTTTGGTTTTGGTTCTGATACAGTGATCGTTTGATTTTTTCCCCACAGTGTATCATTTGTTATCCTCCTGCCTTCGTTGTCCAGCACAAGCGAAGAAGTGGACCTATCGGTCGACTTCAGCGTGAAAATGCACATAATAATAATCATAGTTAGACTGCTTCGTCAAATATCATAATGGTCTCGTCATCGTCCAGTAACAATCGACATTCTTTGTTCCATTGGGACTGTAGCTTTTGCTCGTTTTCGTTGCGCTTACCTTCCCCTCTTTGGTCTTTACATAACCTTGAACCTTCCAAGTTGGAAGGCTGTCGGTTAGCACTACGGAGATGTGTTGAAGCTAGGTGTCAGGACGTCGAATGTCTCAGTACTCTTGTCAGTTTTGTGCCTAGTTATTGCACTTTCTGACTGTATATAGTATATATCCAGTTACAGTGATGGAGAGTTGCTCTTAACTCGTATCCATATGTCCTTTTCCTTTCTACATACATTTATGGCTCAACATCCGAGTTTCAAATAATAATAATAATAACGAGAGAGCTTGGAAGCTCAGGGCCCTGCGCTATGCTTTGTTGCCTAGCTCATCGTGCATGTTGTTAGAACTGATGGAAATGCTTTTTCCTTTGATTAGCTACATCATTGTATTGCAAAAACAATGATGTAGGCTTCTGGTGACTCGTCCGGGGCTCGATTGTCCAGATGTCAGTTTCGGTGGTTTCCGTAGCGGTCTCTTCTTCTTGTTGACTGTTGTTTGGGTTGGCCCCAGCCCTGCGCCCGACGAAAAGGAGGAGGCGTCGGCAAGCGTATCCACAGCGGACTTGGACAAGTCCACCTCAGACACAGACTGCACTGGACACTTCGGTGGACGACCACGCCGAGGTCGAGAACCACGTGCAGCTACAGGGACAAGATTCAGCGGTACATGTTGACGAATCCGTGCGCCCAGGTGCTGAAAGGTTCTACCTACGTACCGATTTTCACAATTTCGGCACTGAAAGAAATAGATTAAATTACTTTTGCTTAGGGTAGGTAGAACGTCCTTCTTCACGCTGAACGCACGGGTCGTCCCAAAGATGACATACAAATTGACACACGGATAAGAGGAACAAACAATATTCCGCACCTCCTTCTCGACGCGCGAAGAACCGGCATCAACCCATGGCAAACGTAGTACCACAGGGCATCTCTCTGGTCCAAAAGTGATCGTCTTTTCCAAGGTCGGTTTCTGGTTGATGAGTTTCATTTAAATGTCTTTGGATAGCCATTCTTTGTCATTATCGTTAAGAGTCGTTCTAGTTTCTCGTCCAGCAGATGAGGGGAACATATTCTATGTGCACGGTAGACAAGGGCCTTGACGAGGTGTGTTTTGGACTTAGTTGGAGTAAAACTTGACCATGGGATATACAAGCCTTTGAAAGTGGGCTTTCTATAAATGGTCGTGTCCATGTTGTGCGTATCCATGTTACGAGAAATACTAACATCCAGGAAAGAAAGGGTACCATTGTTTTCACCATCTGATGTGAATTTTAATGCTGGATGTAAGGAGTTGAGAGTTTCCATAAACCTATCACAGGTTTCCTTGTCGTCGTCGTGACAATACACATCATCAACAAAACGACAGTACATTGATGGCCAAAGTGAAGGGTCAAAAGACGACTCGCAGAAGCCAACAAATATGTTCGCCAAGACTGGTCACCAAATAATATGATCATCTAGCTCCCACAGGCTCGACAAGACCTAGGATGTATGGGCTCCCAAAAATTCATGAAAAACATATTCCATCACGCCCGATCTTAAGCATGTCTGGATCTCCGCAATACAAGGTTTCGAAATGGTTATGCAATTTGCTGGAACCGGTTCTTGCCTTGTACAACACACATTGCGTTAAAGACACGTTTGAGTTTGTGGAAAAACTTAGAGATTCGAAATTTGAATCAAATGGTTACATGTGCTCCTATGACGTAGTGAGCTTGTTTACCAACCGTGAATCTTGTCCCTGTAGCTGCACGTGGTTCTCGACCTCGGCGTGGTCGTCCACTGAAGTGTCCAGTGCAGTCTGTGTCTGAGGTGGACTTGTCCAAGTCCGCTGTGGATACGCATGCCGACGCCTCCTCCTTTTCGTCGGGCGCAGGGCTGGGGCCACCCCAAACAACAGTCAACAAGAAGAAGAGACCGATACGGAAACCACCGAAACTGACATCTGGACAATCGAGCCCCGGACGAGTCACCAGAAGCCAATTGAGGAGACAAATTGATGACGAATCAAAAGAACCAATACTGGAAGTGACAACAACGGTTAATGTGAAGAAACGAGGTAGACCACGAAAGCAGGACAGACTGGACGTGGAGCAGCACACTGATCTCGACCGAGGCAATCGGAATTGCAGGGACGCAGGGCGTAATGGGAGAGATTCGCAAGCGGCAGGATCGGAGGTGACAACGGCCAAGTCGTCGGGTCAGGGAAACGGTACCTCAGCAATCAAGTGTCACCTGTCGGGCAGTGCTAGTTGTCGTGAGTGGTATTCCGATGATGTATTCTCTGTTTTGTCGCGTGGTAGGTCTTTGTTACATCTTGCCGTGTTGGAAGCTTTGTACATACGTAAGTTAGACCCTGAGCTTTGTGTTCAGAAGGAGAATGTGTTGTCTTTGCAGTTGTTTGGCACTGTTCGTCGTGAAGGTGCGAAATAGATCCCTTGATCTCTTGATATTTCTCTCTTTTTCTTGTCACTACGTTTTTTGTCACTTATTGGATTTGCATGCTGTTTTCTTGATTCTTCACATCTTTTTTTTCGTGTCACTTCTACACATAATTGGAGTGATATATTTCTGAACTTCTTTTCCCTATAGTTGTAGTCTTTTAGCTTATTTCCATCATTCCCTGTAGTATTTTGACAAGAAGGGAACGAAAACGTTCAATACTTTGACACATGTCCTAATTGGCTGGTGGTGACTCTTGCGTAGATGCATGCGTAGATAAAACATTTTTTGTAATATTTTCTGCCTCCGTCCTACTTTCAAATAATAATAATGACATTATTATTCTAAAACTGTACCTTGTACTAGGATGGTCAGTTGTTTTAAAGCAATTCCAAAGGGCGACGATACTGTGCAAGTATACATCCCTGAGTCGTCCACAGTTAGGTAATCACCAAGCTTGCGTGTCCAACCATTTGCACCATTATATGCTGGTAGTATTCTTCCATTCTTAGTCCATGTCATATTCAATGGTCCCGTGCCATTTGCTCTGCACACCAAGGCAATTGATCCGACCTGCCATGATGTGGACACGATAGTCATGGATCCACTGCTGAATGTAATGTATGGAACATCTATAACAAACGGAAACAGCCAGGAAGCAAGGAACCATCACCACTACAGACACTTTTTGCATAACAATGAGAGCAGTGTTAGGGATGGGTGGGGTGGTAGGAGAAGGCATGACGCAATCTGAAATAGCTAACATATTTGACAAGGTGTGCTGGAACGAATGAAGTAGTGGGAAAAGCTGTAAAACTGAAATACCAAAACATAGGAGGGTTCTAAACTAAGACAATGCGTTTAGAAAATTGACCACCAAGACTCAAACAAGGACCTTTGCAAATATAATACAAGTACAAGTATCCGTATTTTCCTGAAGCAGTAATAGAATAGCAGTATTGTCTGGCACGATTTTGTACACGGAAATGGTCCTACTCTGAAGCATATACCTGACGATATTTTTTCATAGCTATCAGGTTCGGCCTCACTTTCTCAGTGTTGCGCTGCTGTCCGCACATAGAGTACTTGAGTAGGTAACATGATTGCACTGTACTCACTGGCAACATGTAAAGTGATAATGTTCCTCTGAGAAAGTACTCCCTGATGTCGAAAGCTGCATTCATACGCTCCTATCATTGACTGAGTGATAGTTGTTGGCCAGTGCATCTGTCTGGTGTAGATTAGATCCTTGTTCAGTGATGTTTGCCGACGATCCTCATAATACCGTTCAATCCTGAATAAGGGATTGTCTTGAACAGGTGCGTTGTTGAAGTACCAGAAAGCTGTTGACAGGGGTGGGTCAATAGGCCCAGTTGAACGGATGGTGCCACACACGATTCTACATGTCAAAGTGGGAAGGCTTGCTGATGGCCTGTTAGGCAAAATGTACAAATCTCTTGGTCCGTGATAGGGACTATGACCAAACTGGTCATTTGTCAACTCGACCCATCCATCTTTACAATCTTCAAAAACAAAAGCACACAATGTCAACAACAAACAAAAATATGACTTCCATAGAAACAATAATATTATGCAAGCACTAACTAATGGTGATGGTTGTGTGCAGGAGGGTCTAGTCGGCTAAAGAGCGCAGTGTAATGGTGGAGGTGACTCAACAAGCACTAACTGTTACAAGTACTGGTAATATAATACCCTACGCTAACGTACAAACTGTATTACATGAATAACATGATATTCGGGAAGCACTCTTGCCGTTTCCGAGCACTATATCCGTTGCCAAGCGCTATTGCTATAGCCTGGCAATGAGTTCTTTCCTGGGCCCCCAAATAACTATGTGCTGGGTGGTCTTGCACATGACAGCACATTGTAAGGGCCACTTTGAAAAAACTCAGGCCGGTTTCCAACAAGCTAGACCATGCCGCCAAAGGACCCCGCCAGGCACTGGTCACCGGCACTTTCTGGCAATTGAATTTGTTTTCACCAATAATAATTATTAATTATGTAAGGAAAAAATTGGAGGCGTATCCAATTTCGAGAGAAAAGGTGTCAGCACCGACGCAATCCACACAGTCAAGTAAGCCACTTTGGAAGCCGAACGTTTTCGTTCCCTTCTCATCATGGGTAAGTACAGGGAATAATGAGAAATGTCAAAATACTGCAATTTATAGAGCTACAGCGAAAGCATAGACCGAGAACCTCACGCTATACGTGTGGAAACAAAATTAAATTCAGCAGAACAGGTAGACAGGTCCAACACAGGGTGAAGGTGAAGGAATGACTGTGACTAAAACATACTGAAAACCGTAGAGGAGAAGCACTCCTGACACTTTCATGAGGATTAGCTCCAAACAACTGAAGTGACAAAACATTTTCCTTCTGAACACATAGTTCAGGGGACAACTTACGGATATATAACGCTTCCAAAACAGACAAATGTAATACAGATCTTCCACGGGCCAAAACTGAGAAAACATCGTCTCTGTACAACTTGCGACAACTATCACTAACGGACAGATGACTCTTGATAACCGATTGCTGATTGTTGGAATGTCGCGTCTTTTTCGTCACGACTAATGTCGCAACTCTTGACCAGGGACACCGACTCGAAGAGTTACTCGTAGCCAGGTGAGGATGCGTACTGGAGGAGACGAGCCGGCGCCGATACTGGAAGTGACAACGAGCGTAAGTGGGAGGAAGCGTGGAAGACCACCACTTAAGCCACTAGTAGAAAGTATTAGGCGTGTACCAACTCACTGACGTCATCGATGACGTCATAGCGATTTAACCCTAAAAACCGGGGCGTTTTAACCCTAATTTTTTCCGATTTACGGCAATTTTTTGCGATTTACGGTAAATTTTTGCGATTTAACCTAAAATCGGAGCGTTTCACACATGACGTCATCGATGACGTAATGCGATTTAACCCTAAAAACCTGGGCGTTTTAACCCTAAATTGTGCGATTTAACCCTAAATCTGTACGTTTAACCCTAAAAATCGCGGCATACTAACCCTAATAATCCCTGTAACCCTAACCCTATCACCATGACGATAACCCTAACCCTAGGGCTATCACCATGGCGATAACCCTAATATTCCTGACGATGATAACCCTTACCCTATCAACATGACGATAACCCTAACCCTAGGGCTATTACCATGACGATAACCCTAATATTCCTGATAACCCTAACCCTATCAACATGACGATAACCCTAACCCTAGGGCTATCACCATGACGATAACCCCAATATTCCTGATAACCCTAACCCTAGGGCTATCACCATGACGATAACCCTAATATTCCGGATGATGATAACCCTATCACCATGGCGATAACCCTAATATTTCTGATAACACCTAACCCTATCACCATGGCGATAACCCTAATAATCCTGATAACCATAACCCTAATATTCCTGATAACCCTATCACCATGGCGATAACCCTAATATTTCTGGTGATGATAACCCTAATATTTCGAGAGACGATAACCCTAGTAACCCTATCACCATGACAATCCTATTACCATGCCAACTCTACTCTTTTTATGTGTGCAGGTACTACAGATCACAACGGCAACAACAACACTCAGCAAACCCTAATAATCATCTTATATGTGTACAAGTCCTATATGCCCTAGATCTAGTTGTTACGTGCACAGATCCTATCGTTATTCTTATATTATGTGTGTGTGCGTACAGGTCCTATATACCCTATTAGCAAATCTTGTTGTTATGTGTACAGATCCTATCGTTTTGCTAACACAATCACCATCGCAACCCCCTTCAACACTTTGATGACGACCGTAATAACCCAATCACCATCACATACGTGTCTACAGGTACTCGGTGGAAAAAAATCCTCCCCCGATTTACCTAACAGCAAGACTTAGTAAACTATTTTACTTACCTTGCACGAATTTATACAACAATTCAATCGGGGGGAGGGTCATGCTCATCACCAGGTAAGATGCACATGTGCATTCACACGCGCAGATGTATGACGAAAGTGTTGTAGCTGCAAACGACGAAAAATTACGAAAAAATAAATCAAACGCTGAAAAATTACGAAAAAATAAATATGTCTATATATGGAATCAGACTACGAGCAAGAATTGTGTACGATCCTAATCGGATAGACATGCAATGGCCGACGATCACATACCTTGTACGAAGCAATGCTGCATGGAGATGAAGAGGGATGCCCGTATCTTGTCCGACTAAACGACTAGGCTAAAATAATTCCAGGACTACATGAAAAAAGGAACACTGTCACTACGAAATGATTTGAGGGAATGAAGATTGCTTCCATATACGTGCACACCACTTGCTCCGTCGAGTTTGAAATTTTCAAGTTCGTACGCATCAAACCACAAAGCCAGGCAAAACGGGAGTCGCGTACCGGATACGCATCAAAAGCTCGCCCGAGCCCTCGCGTACGCCGATCAAAAGGTTAAGAGGAGTGCGTCGTACGCGGCCACACTATCTGCATAAGGGAGTAATAAAAAACTTCATTTTACTCCTCGCTATGCTCAGAGTACGCACAGCGTACTCCGATCACACGGAAGTTTCTGGAATCAACTAGAACCCACGACAAGTTTGAACGGGTTCAAACAGAACGCGGGCGAAGTACTCTAGATGCTGCTCCTTTTACTTCCTCATAATAATTTATTTTCCTTCGATGAAGAAACGTGGAGGTAAGTTTGTTTAGTTGAACGTACATTTAGCTACAAGATTTCGCAACCAAGCCGAGTGAGGGTGTCGCGTGCAGGAGATACATAAAAGGCGCACCTGAACCTTCCCGTCGAACCGAGTTATAATGTTGAGCCTTCAGCCAAGGACCAACCTGGTGGGGATAAAAGTGATTCGATCCACCTTGATCAGCCCCATTCCACAAACCTGAATGAGACAAAATGCTCCTCTCTTGTTCCTTGTGTTCGAAGACTATGACCGGCCTCCGGCCGTTCGTCGAGCATCTCCGCTCGAAAAACCACCGGAGGAAGCTGGAGGCCGGGATGCAGCCTGAATTTATGTGTTCGTGGTAAGTAATCTGTCGTGCAATTCTCTTTATTTGAAATACCAGAGATCTTATACATGTTTTGATGTGTTTCCCCCCATACAGCGACGACCAATGGCGGACAATGGAGCAGTTTAAACACCATCTTTCGGCCGTTAGCCATCTGACCCATTATATGGTCAAGCTAACTTCCCACTATGGCCAATTGCCGATCAACAGTGTAATTACCATGATACAGTCACAGATCGATATAAACAGTATGTAATTAAAAATTTTAAAATCAACATATCTGTGCTAAATGTGTGTGTGGGTCTGGATGGGGGTCGAGTACTCATTCGATTGCATGTTCCGAGTCGATGGGTTTGGCATGTTGAAGTTCAATGTCATTGACGTAGTGGGTAGCTGCAAGTTCGTTGAACAGGTTCGGGTGGACGTGCATGGCTTTATCGTAGTTAGCACCTTTAAATTTATGCACGAGCTCCGTGCCGAAGGCACGTCCGGGCAGCCGGGGGCAGCCAGCAGCCAGCGGCCGGAGGGTACGACGAAGACGTACGTCAACATGTCGAGACGAATCAAAGACATGCCCCGACATGTGCGCGTATGGGGGTAGTATGTAAGGGATGAGAAAGTCTAAACATTCTACAGTATTCTCTCATCGTCGACATGTCTCCAACGTATCAGCGCAGCAAATCGTCGCAGGGTGGTCGGAAACCGAGACAGCCAAAGGCCCCACAGTCTCCGGTACGGCAATACCTTGGCAGCAACGGATCGGATCCTCACCCCACGACGATGCCGTTTACGAGACTGCTCATCGCCGACGGACTCTTTGCAGGAATTCAAGTCAAATACGTCAAGCGTGGAGATAAGTACTTTGCATCGGACGGTTCGAGCTGGAAGTCGTACTTTCCCACGGGCGCCATTCCGACGGCACGCGTGCAAGCATCACCATGCCTGACCGGAGAGCCGGAACCTAACCTGTATCTGCAGATCAACGAGAGCACGGAAGAGATCATGAAAGCCATCCTCACCACCATCCCGAGCATCAGAGCTTCTCTAGACGCGGGGTTCATCACCTGCATGAAGACGAATTTCTACCCGATGCAACGAGGTCAACAGACGGAAAGCGGGACGAGAATCTTCATGAACGTCAGATCCGAGAAGAGCAGGCGTCAGCAGGCCGCAATGCAGTACTTTCATCAACACCTGCTAGCCACCATCCCCGTCAACATCTACGTCTCGGCCATAACCTGCTCCGACCGAGGCCTGTTGAAAGTCAAGCTCTGTTGCAGTCCAGCAGACTCTACCGATACTCAACTCCGGCCGATCGATCCATCGCTGGACGAGAAGGCCGAGTTTGACGACGTGACACCACTTCTCTCCAAGGTGTACGGTCTGTGGGCCTACTCTCAGAAGGTAGATGATGACGTCATCGAAGTCTTTGATGTATAGCAATATCATTCCTATACAATTTGAATATTTCAACGG